GCTTTACATATGCTACTTTGACTTTATAGGTGTCTTTAATTGACTTTTTAGATTAGAAATGTGATCAATAAGTTGTCCATATGCCACATATGTTGGTAGCTTGAAGAACGAGCTAACTATGTGGCTTACATGTAGAAAACTTGCCTTGTAAGCTAAGGCATGTGTCTTATAAAGTCAACACATATTAGAGGTCCTATAGAATATCGCCACATAGCTCCTAGTTAGATAATATATATAGAGACAAGAGTGAAGCCCTCTTCACTCTTTTCAACTCATTTATTTCTTTTAGACTAGATTTAAGAGTCTTTAGTTTCTTTATCATTTGACAATAGCCATTCCAATTTTTTTAATATACATACTACTTTATTTTTATTTTTCCACTTTTTTTTTGAATCTTGTAGATTGTATGGTTTTTGCATCTTCTTTTAGTTCATGTCCTTGACAATAAACATTCTTCAATCTTCAAATATTCTTTTATTATTTTTTTGTTGATATTGGAGATATCTATCAATATTTATTATTATTTTTTCTACAAACACATTTAAATACCATTTTATATAACAATTGTCTTTTATACAAGATGCTTGAAGATTTTGTATTTCAAGCAGACCATGTACCATGCATTATAGAATAACTTCAAATATCTCTCACCTATTATCTTTGTCTAGAAATTTTTCAAAAATCATATAATCTACATCTTTAATGCATCTAATCTTACTTTTTGTATTAAAAAAAAAATACATATAAGATAGATATTTTTTAAAAAAACTTAATGATATAAATATGTGCAAAAATATGACCAAAAATAATTCCTTTCTTTATATATCTATAATTATATATTTTTTTAGCTCAAATATACAAACAATCCAATTTAGCTAATCACTTACTTGTTGTTCTTAAAGCAGTTCATTTTGGATTTTAAACCATCGTAAATTTCCTATCATTATCATAAAAAAATCAAGATACTTATAAAACCTTGTAATTTCTATAAAATCTTAAAGTATTTCCATCATATTTTTTGCATTTTTAATATTTGATGATAATAATAAGATCTTATATTCTAAATTATTTAATTCATATCCTCCTTCTTTAAGCCCAATATTTTGATGAATTACAAGAATATCTACCAAACCTTAGTACAAATTAGTACATATATTTTTTTGATTATAAAATAGATATTACAAATATAATTGCTCAGTTATTGCTTATCCATCAACCCTAAAATTTTGCTATAGCTTTCTTTTATGCAAAATTATGAAATACTTAGTAGGTCTCGAAAAAAATTGATAAGTAAAATAATCCATTTTTATAAGACTATTGCCTCTCCAATCTTCTTATTCAACATCTTTTCCTTCTTTAATAATATCCATCATTATATTTTGCATCCTTAAATCAGGATGCATGTGAAAGTTCTATGCAAAAAATATATATATATATATATATATATATATATATATAATGGAAACGCAAATAAGTAGGATGAGCTTTATGAATCCTTTCCAATAATCCATTACTATATAGATAAATAATAATATTATAAAATGCATTAGGCTACTATCTATCTCCAAGCAATATAATAGCAATCTCTTGAAAAATAGTGATAAGATCATATTGGCATGTATCACTTTCATTCATGAAGTAAAAAGAAATTATAAGATTTACTTCCACTACTTCTTCATTTTGGGCTTGAGATAGTATTTTATATGCTTGTCTATATAATCCAACAAACAAATTATATTTTTCCAAAAACTTTTCTAATTTTCAGCATAATTTGGCTCAATAAATCAATATTACATCTCATTCTTCTATCTTGTACAAATAATGCATCATTGATATAGAGCTATGCATAAGTTGGATCAATACCTTTTTCTAGCAATAATACTTCTATCAAATGGCACAACTTTCTATTTATTCTAAAACTACATAGAGCATTTTTTCAAAGTACAAATTGATCAATATTTACATCTAAGGACATAAATGGATATGTAGTATTGTGCTGATAGATATTTTTTCAAAACTTCCTTATCCTTGTATTTTAGTTTTTAAATAAGCATCTCAAAAGTAAAAGCAAAGAAGGTAGAGATGGTAAAGAAATCTTTTCTTGATGACAATATTATCCAAATAATAGAGACTCTATTGGTGACCAAACTAAACATTTATCAAATCAATACAATACATTACAATAAGGGCACAAAACATTCATCTTCCTTAGATTATATACATCTTCAGCACTTATAACTGTTTTTAGTTTCTCTTTGTACTCTCTCATATTCTCTATATTATCATTGAGCAATTGCTCTATGATTTATTGTTAAAGTTCGACCATTCATATAGATTCTACTAGACAATTGAAGTGAGCTTATAAGTGTCAAAATTATACTTCTATAAAATTCCAATAAAACCTTGTTATTCAAGTATTTTAGTAAAATTTTATAATACTTGAAAAATAAAAATAAATTAATACAACTTACTTCTTTAAATTATAATGCTATAGTAGTAATTAATAAAAACTCAACTTAACTATACTTAAATGTTCATTAATCTTTGACTTTGACTACAATAATACTATTGTCAAACTTTATTTTTTGTATCACCTTTCATTATTTAGTTTAGTAAAAACTTAGATATACAAATCACACCAATCTACTTATTTTTAGGATTTTTATTTAAGATTAAATATTGGCTTTAAAAAATATATATTTATTTAATATAAAATTGATTTTTTTCTATTTTTAATTCCATAAATACAATCTTTATCTAATTTCAAATTCGAGTGAGATTATTTTGTATGTATCCTTGAATTTATAATAAATCTCATAAAATAAAATAAACATTCTATTTTCTTAAGATATCTAAGACACAAAGTAATTTTGTCTTTGATACATATTATACAAAGAAATTTTGAAGAAATATATTTGCACAAATTGACTATCTACTTTATAGTGCGCTTTTCGATCTTTCTTTTTTTACTTTAAAATTCTCTTTTTTATCATTTTTTTTTCCAAATAGATTTTTTAGTATTTAAGTACTGCTATTATAAGACATATATAATTATTATGTATTAATTTCAATTAAATTATCTTAGATAACTAAATTAATTAAAGTTTCTTAGATTTTTTTTGATTAGGTTAAGTTTGTTGTTTATTAAGGTACAAATAGAACCTTAACATTATTGAACAAAAGAATATTTATATTATTTATTTAAAAATAAAAATAAAAAATTTTTGACTTAAAAACTTGTTAAAAAAACTCTTTGATACAAAAAATAATTTTTATATGTAATTACATATCTATTTTAGATATATAATTTTTAAAATCAATAAAAATAATCTTAAAATTTCTTATAAAAAAATTATCATAAAAAGAAACTATAAAATAATTTGTAGGAAATTCCTTATGATTCTCTTGATAAGAATATATCCTTAGACGTTGATTCTATATAAAGGGCATGACAATAACATAATTGTTTTTTAACATAAATTTAAGTTTATTTCTTTCTTTCATAAATCTTAGGCAATTAAAAAGTTATCTAAAATTATGATTGTTATGTAAGGCTTTTAAAAGATACTTTAAAAAAACAATCTTGCATATAATTTAAAAATAATGGGTTTCCAAACTGTCAAAAATGTAAGAAAGAGTTTCTTAAGTATAAAAAAAATTATTATCCTATTTATATTACATCTCTTAAAAAAAAAAAAAAATTGTTTGTTTGTTTGTTTGTTTGTTTGTTTGTTTTTTTTTTTTCCTTTCTTTTTTACATGGATCCTATTGGTATTTTATATTATTGGCATGTTTAAAAATAAAATAACTATTATCGTAAGTTAAATTATTTTATGGTATAAATATAACATCAATTTTTTGACAATATATATAATAAGAATCAACATTGAAATTTGAAAGAAACAAGCAAACTATTGATATTCCAAATTTTTGTGTTTATATATAAATATATACATATCCTAGATTTTTTTCTTATAATTTTTTTAAAGAAATATGTGTAAAAAATTTAATATAGATAGTTTATTATTTACAAGTTATGAGTAATCAGAAGTCCACAAAAGTTTGGATTTATTCCTCTCATTACATCCTTGAGATCTTAATCTAAATGGTAACAAGTCAGTGTTTCAAAATCCAAATATTATTAAAACAGTATTAGATTGTTGTATTGCAAATATAATTATTATTATTTACGTTTTATTTGCAATACAACAATCTTATATTGTTTATAAGTGTATAATCAAACAATACATGCTTAATGTTGGATGTATCTAATTATAAATAAAATTGATTTTTTCTTATGTGGTATATGTCTTTAGCTAGGATTTCAGAAGCATCAAGCTATCTTGGTAGAGAAGCGGTAAATAGTACTTAAAGTTTCACATACACATGGACTTTGCTCAAAAGTATGTTTAAATAGAAAATTGAAATACATATTTAATTTGACATGTTGTCATTATTAAATATAGACATGTACACATGTTTTTAGAAATAAATGGACAAATATAAAAGCTACAACCAAGAATGATCAAATACGTGAAGTGAAGTTATTTCTAAATGTTTTGAAAGAATAAAACTGAAACCAAAAAGTGGAAGAACTATTTCTGAAGACATGGGATAGGAAATGAATGACTAAGGCCATCATGGATAGACACTAGGGGTGATACATTGAGCAACAAAACAAGGAGCATTTGGATAAGCTAATACAATTTGTTAGCATTGTAGTCCACCACAACTCACAGTTAAGAAGCATACTCAACACATGTGTGGGCCACCTCGTAATAACTACAGAAAAAGAAAAAAGACAAAAATACAACATTTCTACAATGTAACTCTTCCAAGTCAAAAAGGAGAAGACACAAATAGAAATCTAGGTCGTCTGATTGGCGCACTTAGTCTGTACACTTCGATTGGGCCTCAGTGTCTGTAGAGCATCTATCCGACGGTATTTTTTTGTACAGACATATTGTGACGTCCTGAATTGTTTTATGAGACAATGTTGGAGCGCCTGCCACGAAGCTCTGGATTGCATGTTGCTGGGAATGATTCTGTACACTCATTTTCCGGCATCTTATGACCGATGGATGGGTTCCATGTGTTGAGAATACGACACTGACTCGGCACTGATTGCGCCGGTCTGTTCGCAGCCCACCAATCAACAACGCGCTGATTGCCTTCAAAACGGGCCAGCTTGGTACGCGCAACGGGTGTAGTGCGGCACTCATCATAGCGTTCCTTCAGCGCTGCTCTCTCTCTCTGCGCTCGTTTTACTGGTCGATTGATCGTTGACATGTTTTGGGAGTTAGTGTGCTCTTTCATGGTTGTTGTGGACTTGCTTGTCGAATCCCCGTCCTAATTGCAGGTTGCTAGTCTGCCGACTGTTGCCGCAGCGGCGGCGTGTGGAGGAATTGTGAGTGATGGCATGGAAGATAAGCATAACCAGAGCAGGCTTTGGTCTTGTTCGTGTTATTCCTTTACCGGACTTGTAAGTTACAAATCCCACTTGAAGGTTCAACATTTTGTTCTTCTGGGGACTCTGCAATTTGAGTACTTACGAATGATGTTCAGATCTGTGATTTCGAGTATGCAAAATGTGATATTATCCACGTTTGGGAGCGTAGGGGGGCGGAATTGAGTGACGACTGGATATTATTTGTAATTAAAAAAATGTATTTGTGAATTGCAATTTATATTATGTTATTATTATTATTATTATCTCATATAATTTTTGCTGTAGTTGTGGTAGGTGTTGACATTCTCATCTATAAAATTAAAGATTATGCAACAAAAGTGCTTGTTTGGCTTCAAATTTCTTTATGGTAAATATCACATTAAAGTTTCTTTTTGGTAAATATCAAATTAAAATATCACATTAAAATATCTACATTCATTATCTTAAATAAAATAATTTAATTAAAATTTATACCAATATTTAGAAATAGTTACAGATGAAATTCAATGATTTAGAAAATTTTAGTTGGTATTTGCATGTAACTCTGTAAAAAATTCTTAAAGCGATGTAATAGTTATAATAAGTTGTAAGCCATGTATCAAGAATGCCACATGTTATTGGAGATATTTAAAAACAATGTCAACTAATGTTTGAATGTTATATATGCATTTAATCAAAGTACAGTAATCATATGTTAGAATATTAAGATGTTAAAATGTTAAGCTTTAAAAATATAACATTATTTAAACGATATTAGATGGAAAAAACAAAAATATAGATTAAAAACTTTGAATTTTTAATTTGAATTAATTTGTTTTCGTAAAAACAAAATAAAAATTTATAAACATGGATTTTTTTGGATTTATTTATTTATTTTTTGTAATAATTTATATCCAATTGATATGTTGAAATAACAACTGTGCTATTACAGTCTAAAGAAGAAAACAATTATAGAAAATGTGGAATTTATTTATGACACAAATTTATTATTTATTGATTAAAGCTAATAAAGAAAATTAAAAAATACATGATTAATTACTAAAACAAACTAAACGACATTTTTAATTTATGAATCTTGATCGAAAAAATTAAAAAAAAAATTAAAAAAAAAATTAAAAAATCATTATACAAATTTAAGGAAAGAACTTATTTTATATAATATTTTTAAATAATAGAAAAATAATAAATAACTCTAAGTACAAATCAAGTTGAAAATTTTAAATATATTTAAATCTCATATCATTTAATTAATATATATTAATTTATGAAAATTTATATTACTAATACATTAAATTTTTTAAAAATAATATATACCCCTAAACTTTCATATTTTAATTTAATTTTTTCAATAGTTAGAATTATTGTATTGGAATATTTGTACTTAAAAAACTATTAAAGTATTTAAAATGCCAACTTTATTTTCATTGAATTTTTTATTTGTAACATTTTATTTGGAAAAAATATTTGATATAAATAAATTATATAACTAAATTGTATTGTTAAAAAGTTATTAATAAATATTTCATAATTTTTAAATTAATAATATAAAAAAACAAGATTTTATGCATTTGATTAAAAATTAATAAAAAATAATAAAAAATCATTTAACCAAATCAAATCACCAAAAATATATGTAAATTATTTTAAGGTTATTATAGTGTTAAAATTTAACTCACTAAGATGTTTAAACTGAATAACAATACCAAATATAAAAAATATTTTTTTTTTCTAATTAATATTAATTTCCAAAACAGAATAGATTAAAAAATATTCTCAAAACTCCCAGAAGAATTACGTCACTTTTTAAAAAACTAATTGTATTTGAAGTTATGGCAAACTTGTATTTTTAACTAAACTGTGTAAGGCTTGATTTTTAACCTCGGTGTTATTTTTCAGTAAATTGAGTAAATTTGCATCATTAACTATAAGTAAAATAGACAAATGTTCATACTTAAAATCAATATTAAATAAATTAGGTAACATTAAATCACGAATTGAGCTTACAATAAGCAATTTTTAAAGCTTAATACAATTACTAAATGAATAAGACAATCTGATATTATTGGTTTCATTTGATTTAGATAGATGTTCAAATTTAATATTTTATTCAAATAATTTGAATAATGATATAGCTTCAATAGAATCTAATGTAAGTAGATAATTAAACTAAATTACATTATAAAATAAATTATATAATCTCAAATTATTTTTTAATTTTGAAATAATTAACTACTTGAGCATGAAATTATTGCCAAAAGATCTAATAATATTAGATTATTAATACATTTTAACATAAATAAGAGTATAAATTTAATATAATTTTCAAATAAACTATAAAACCTATTAGAAGTCAGTATAGCCATATAAGACATCTACTAGTATGACCTTTGTTTTAGATGTTTTTAATATCTATATAATTGGTTATTATTTGTATAATTTATATGAATTTTTTTCTACTTCTTAAAGAAAAAATATTTATAATTGTAGAATAGATATTAATTTGTTTTTGAAAGATATTGGTAAAATATATTAATAGTCCATATAATAGAAAATTCAGGAGGATGGATGAGTGATTTAGTTCTTAAAAGCGGTTACTTACAGAATTATGATTAGAATCTGGAGAATCAAGGAAAAGTATATAGGAATTGTAGAAGTTAATTAAGGTGCCATTGCTATGATAGTTGTAAGTCGGGGTAAGCTTGGTGCTACCTCTTTTCTTTTGTTTGTTATTTTCTTTGAATAAGAGGATTGAGAGTTTTTGAATATTGTGAAGTGAATTATGGAATGGAAATGTGATTGGTATTATTTGAGAAGAAGAAAGATTGAATGCTGAAATTTGATTGTAGTTCAGCAGAGAGAATGAGTCTGTATTTGTGTGAAACACTGTAATGTGAATGGCAGTTCTGTGTGAAGAATTCCAGTGATTGGAATGAGGGTAATTGTGTACTAAAAGTTGTGAAGGCATAGTATTACAATTGGAGATTATGAGGGTGAATATATTGGTAGAAATAGCAGTTATTGGTATGACTGAATTGCTATAAGGAAGAGACTGATAAGGTGAAGGAGAAAATTATAGTTTCCTTGTGTATTCAAATATTGGAAATAGAGACGATACATTCAGGAGGTAATTGATTGTGTGACCTTAACGTGAACGCTTAAGCAACTAGTCATTCCTCATGTTCGAATCCCCTTATACGGGTTTATTCCCATTAGATTAATTTTGAATAAGTAAAACGAGCAATCTTAGTAATATAAATAATTACTAAGTAATTTTTAAAAATTATGTATATATATATATATATATATATATATATATATATATATATATATATATACATATAATTAATGTATGTGATTTTATTAGCATATTTTTTAAAAAAAAAATATTTTTAGTAGTATTCAATTATAAACTTATTTTTAAATAAATTAAAAACTTCTATATTTAATAATACTTTATGTATTTTTTTCTTAAATTTAATATAATTAAATAATTATGATTTATTTAATCTTACATCTTTGTTTATTTAATTAGTAATTGATGTTAAAACTTAATTTTATTGTAAAAGTTTGTACAAATTTATATCTTTGAAAAATCTTTATTTAAATTAATACATAAACTTGATATTATTATTAAATAATTTGGATAATTTTATATTATTAATTTATTATAATATCATTTTTAAAAATTTTTATTAAAAAAATTATTTTTTTTATATTTATTATATTTTTTATTATACTTGATATAAATGATTTATTAAATTATTAAGTTCATAAATCACAAATAATAAAATCTTCAATATATTCTTATCTTACTTGAAAAGAACAGGTATTAATTCAAAGATAGTTTAGTATTAGAAATAGAATGACTTATTTTAAGAGTCTTTAGTCTTCTAGTCTTTGAAAATAAAATAAGTTTAAAAATAAGAAAGATGTTCATAAGAGTGAAGAAGACTTCACTCTTACTTCTATATATACTATCCAACTAGGAGCAATATAGCTACATTCTATAGGACTTTCAATATGTATCCAACTTGCAAAATATGTTTTCTACATGTGCATTATATGGTTAACTTGTATCACAATGTAATAACTTGCAATACATAATCGAGATATTGGCCATATTTTTAATCTATTAATTAATTATAAATAATTTAAAAGTTAAATTGATATATATAAATCTTCTAAAAAGCTTTTTTATATGATATTATTAAATCTATCTATATTTATTTTTTACCTAATATTATTTATTTAAATAATTATATATGTCTATGATATTATTCTCTTTTTTTAAGAATAAGCTCTACAAAAAATTATCATTACATGTTGAAAAAGTCTAAAATACAACAAATTATATTTACCATATTTTGATCTTTGTTTATATTGAATATAGTTGACAAGTCCTATCAACCATCAATAGTATCTTGTATCAAGGCATAAAGTCCAACTTGTGTTAAGGACATGAATCTCAAAGAAAGAAAACTCTCAATGCACTCTGGTGTTACTAAAAAGAACTAGAAAGTCACTCAAAAATGATATATTATTGAACTAGAATGGCTATTGCCAAAGACAAGAAGACTAGAAAGTCTTGGAATAAGACTAAGCATTAGGAATGCATTGACAAGAGTGAAGAAGGCTTCACTCTTCCCTCCATATATACTATCTAACTAAGAGCTATGTGGCAATGTCCTATAGGACCTCCAACATGTGTTGACTTTGCTAATCACATGTCTTATCTTGCAAGGCAAGTTATCTATGTATGCACCACGTAGTTGGCTTGTTCTACAAGCTACTATATGGAGATGACTTGTTCTACAAGCTACCTATACATGGTTAGCTTTTTGATCAAGTTTCTAATCTACAAACACATCTAAAGTCAAAACCGCATCTATGAAGCTTCTAAGAAGCTAATCTAGATGATTTTATGAAATTATTTTATATTTACCTATTTCTACTTAATCATATAAGTAACTATTGAGATAAATATATATGTCCGTAATATTACCTCCTCTTCTAGCGATGAGTTCTATGAGGAACGGTTAAAGATGCGGTGAATTGTATTTGCTACATACTCCGATCTTTGCTCTCTTTGAAGATGGTTGATAGGTCCTCTCAACTATCTATAATGTCCCATACCAGGGCGAGAAGATCACCCTATTATTTGGTCATTGTTGAGGCCTTCATAACTTCCTTTAAATAAAACATTTGAAACATTATCAGGAGTTGTTCTTACCTCTAAAAAAATCACTAAACATTGAGAATCTCTTCTAAGGTCGTGATATCAAACACGTTATATTTTGCCATCCATTTGAGAAAGGACATGTCGTTCTTAAGGA